CGGCCTGGGATCGCCTTCATCCAGCAGTGGATGATAATTGTTATAAATAAAATAAAAGCTCAACACACTTGTCAACAATCCTGCGACCTTAAGTTAATAAAATAGTAATCATAAACGTTTCAGGGCAATTGACCTTCTTCAGTAGCACATACCCACTTGCGCGAAAAGCCTTTCGGTTACCATATTTTTAAGAAGTATCGACCGGCGTGTGAAGTATTTCCTTTCTCATGGGGCTACTACTTTACGGATCAAAATCATGATTTCGCGGTTGAGATTCAAATGTAACGCGTCTCCTCTACGAACGCACCATCGCGTTTGCGATATCGCCGTTGTGTGTTTCGTATTCCGTCCGTGTCGACTGCAATGCGAGCGTCAAGCTGCACTCCGTGCAGGAGACGCGTAGTGTGGGGCCTGCTCCTCGCGGGGGTTTCCAGCCTTCACCGTCGCCGCGCATTCAACGGGAGGCAAGTTACTTGGTCCACTAAGTGTCGGCGATCGTCAGCGCAGTCTCGGTAAAACAAAGAAGCGTTCAACGCGACGCTTAAAAGCTTCGGCAGCAGAACCCCCCCCCCCCCCCCCCCACATTGTTGTCCTGTACGCCAACACGCACTGACCAGCGCGGGGAGGTATGGTCAAATAACAACAGAGGTGGCCAGCACCACGCCCGGACGCCTTTGTCTCCCCAGTGGCGATGTTTACACATCGTACCAGGTGCTCATTTGAGGCCGAGTCGACCTAGAGGGAGGCCCATGACCGGTTCAGATAATCGTCGCTGGTGTTGGTGGCCGTGAGCGGGAATCGAACTCGGGTGGCCGGGTTCGTGGCGTGTCGCGCCAACAACAGCGCCACCGCTCTCTCACGTTTCATCACAAAGACAAAGATCTCCCGTGATCGCCTATGACACACGCGTTTGGGGCGGGTGCTGTTCGCAAGCGCACACGTGTACACACAACGTCTACAGAGCTCCGTTGATGTGCCTATGACGCTAAGAACCGGCGGTCAGGAAGAGTAATCAGCTCATGAATGCAACGCATCCGATGACGAATCGTCGTACACCGAGGGAGATGGAGCGATGAAAGGACATCCTCCAGCGGTGGACTGACCATGGCTGCTGCTGCTGATGATGACGATGACCGCTTATATAAGAGGGACGCTCAGTCCGTCTTGAGTACGGACGAAAGCAATTTACTTTAACTGTAATAGGATTTGGGCTAGATCCAAAAAAGCAGCTTCAGTCGAATTTACTTCGGTCGCTCGACCTCACCGCCGCTTGCTATTTAACACCACCATCACCACCACCACCAACACCAGCAGCAGCAGCAGCAGCGATGATGGGTGAAGGTCTCGTCAAAGCCGTCGCCTCGTCTCGCACTCGAGAAGTTCGGCACGGCGACTCCGCACGAGCTGACCCCCCCATCTTCTCTGTCTTTTTGGCTGCCGTCATTTTTTTCTTAATGTTAAAACCAGCATGTATATGTATATGTACTTGCATTATATTAATAGGCATACACTCACACACATACACTACACAAAGACAAATATCCCCCGTATAACCTCAACAGACTTTTGGGGCAAGTGTTGTTAGTGAGCCACCTTTAAAGGTGGTCGGTGGCCACCACCACACCAGCGGCGATATTTGCACACCGTGCCAGGTACTCATTGAAGGCTGAGTCTACCTAGGGGAGGCCCAGCATCGGTTCAGATAATCGTCACGGTGGTGGCCGTGAGCGAGAATCGAACTTGGGCCGCCGGGTTAGTAACACCAGTGCGCTAACCACTGCGCCACCGCTCCCCACACTACAAACAAACAAACCACACACACGCAGTAACATACAGATACATAAAACACAAAGACAACGATCCCCCGTGTATCCTACATAGACTGTTGGGGCAAGTGCTGTAAGCGAATAATTATGCGTAGGTTCGTGAGCTCCATGCCCGCACGTGGATCGATTCAGTTATCAGAATCTGTATTGATACAGGAGGAATCCGATGATCTAAAAAGCTCTTTTTCACAGATGCCCAGTAGGGGCGGGTCAGAATCGTTACAACAACAAACAATACAAAAACCGATAGGAGTGTAAAGTATAAGAAAGGTAAACAAATCACTGAAACAAATACGTACACAACAAAAAAATAAACTATTTTTATTTTACCAAGTAAATGTATTCCTCACTAGGAGTGATGCCAATTGTAATGGTGTTGTATAAAAGGAGCAAGGGAGATGAATCAAGCACACACATGCACAGTAGTTGAATCCATGCTTTCATATTACGTAGAAAAATACGAACACAATAAGAAAATATATCATTTAGGTTCCTCCAAAAATAACGACCATGAGGCTAATTCGTTTCTTCGGACCCGGGGGTTTAGCCTAAACGTTCTTGCCGCGTTGCTTTAAAGTATCTCACAGAAGTCGTGAACACACACACACACAAATACAATCTTCAAATACAAATACAACAACGTCAGCGAGCCAAGTCGAGTCTTCGCCTCCCGTGGAGTCTGACGCTAAAGCCGTGAGAGAGATAAACGCGTGTGGCCAGGCGAAGTGCACATTCCTTTGCGCCTCTGAAACGGCGATTCTTCATCGGCAAACGTCAAAAGCGCTCGCCATGAAACGAACGCGTGAAGGCGAAGAGCAATCACCAAGCCCAGCAATCGTGGGGTACATTTGTTGGACGGAAAGTGCCGCGTAGCCAGTTACCCGGCTAGGATTTACGAGGGAGATTGCGTGGGGCATCAGCGCAGAACAACAACATCAAGGAACATCGATTATAATTATTGGTGTTGGCATGGACGTTCTTGCACTGAGTGACATGACGAGCCTCTGTTTAGTACCGATAGCCAACGACACTGAACTCGAGGTGGAAATTCCACATTCCTATGGCGGGGTCCATTATAGTTGTATTCATATACGGTCTACAACCGCAGTATGTACTGTACTACGGTACATTACATCTGTGTTACATGATATAACTTGACATTATATATAAATGTAACATATATGGTATATATATTGTCATGTTTGTCCCCAAGGATACACAGGCGCAATGAATTAATGGTCGTGTATTATCAAATATGTCAATTAATAATAGGTTGAATTCAATAGCTGAAGTTAGGTTCTGATAGAGAATACACTTTTAATATATATTTAGTCTGCGTTTTGGGATAGCTCATAAATAAATGTAGTGTTGGATACACGATAACGATGTACGTCTAACAATCGAGGCCTACATTTTAAAATGGTTTATTTCGCCGAGATAAATAAACGATTATGAGTATTAATTTAAACCGAGTGAATTTCGGCTGCTTGGAATGTCTTTGTCACTCGTATCGTCTCTGTGTGTGTGTGTGCCCCGGCAGGCACTCGCAGCGTGGTTCTGTGCCACAATCCAAGTCGATGACCTCCCGAGAACAGCGCGTTTTCAAACGCACGCAAACAAGACAAAGATCTTTCGATTTAAAGCTTTCGTGACTGCAGGGATTCATCTTCTTGGTTTTTTCGATAAAGTCACGTAGAAGGGAAGTAATAAAATAATAAAAATAAAAACATAATACAATAATACAAATAAAACATAATAAAATGTTTAATTTTTATTATTTTATCATTTCCCTTCTACGTGACTTTACCAAAAGAACCAAGAAGAAGACAAAGATCCATAATGGAGAGGTTTTTTTGGGGGGGGTTAGATCGCGTAAATATATAAATATGTCGTTAAACCCGCCACCACCCGACACAGCCAATTAGTAAGATTCGTCACGTAAACAAAACGTGAAAATTCGTTACTAGTTCATCACGCCGGTGTGTTGGGGAGTAAAACCCACAACATTTACAAGACAAAGATCCCCTCTGTGTCCTTAACAGATTTTCGGAGCACCTATGAAGGCCGGCACAGCACACGAGGGAGTGGGTGGCCAGCACCACGCCCGGCCGCCTTTGTCTCCCCAGTGGCGATGTTTACTACACACCGCACCAGGTACTCGTCGTTGGTGTTGACCGTGCATACGAACTCCGATACACGTGTATGTACACACACACACAAAGGTGATTCAATTGTACATACCCCATTGAAATAATCATGGCCCTGTTACTTTCTGAACCTCTAACGAAGTATAGTGAGTGTTGTAAGCGAACCACACCGGCTATGTTGAAACAAAGTGCATCAGAGGAGTATTAAAATCACAATGGACATATTAGGTATTGAGATCGGTGGGATACGCGCAGAGAGGCCTTGAACAATCGTTTCCCTCCCGATTGCTATAGTGGGGTATCTATAAACGGGTCACGCTGTTCGTAAACTCGCCCCGAATTTGCGTGAACAATGAAATGTTGAAGTTTCACTGCAGCACGCAAACGGACGGAGACATTCTGCCGCGTTAGATACAACAAGAACAAAAGTCGATGTATTAAGTCAATCGGCAGTTCAACGAGACCACGTTAGCACTGACAGATGCCACGCGGTTGCTTTGAGCCGCTTCTGCAGTACGCAAATAATGAAATATATATTTCGACAAACTTTCATTCCATAAAGTAACAAACAGACGCACGCGCCCGCGTAACGAGAAGACGTTAACCATCTTCACATAATCATCGATCATCGCTTCTATCGTGAAACGAACAGTGGCTACTTTGTCCCCAAAGTTACTCGACTGCTACACAGTGGCAGCTGCAATCGGCGGACAAGCAGCACCACAACAAACGCAACGCGTTCTTTCGTCAACCAACACTGGCTACGAAACGTAAAATACGTGTATACGGTGACGTTTCGGGCAATGACCCTTAGTCGTAGCAGATATGTCGACGTACGAAGAGCGCCTCCGATGAGCAGGGCTGTGGCTACGTACGGTGCGAAAGAAGTTCGACATTAGCGTACATTCTCAGCGCGTAGAAAACCTCCGATTAGCAGGGCTGTGGCTACGTACGGCGCGAAAGAAATTCAACGTATACACACACATACACACCAAGAGTAAAATCCGGAGAGAAAGAGAGATCTTACGTCACAGGGGTGTGCAGAGGATAAATCTTCCTCCCGCCATGCAGTCCGCTTGGCTCATCCCGACACCGCACGCAGCGGCAAGCGGCCACTCGCCTCCGGACCCTTCGTATCCTGTAACCTGCCCATTGTGCGAATGACTGCAGCTCAATCCCCCCCCCTATTCACGCATGAGCCGAATAGTCTCCTAACGTAGAGTGACGAATACAAATCAATCTGTTGTTGTTGTTATGAGCGTCGTACCCAAAGCGGCTGCGTACGTAGGCTGCGTTCGCACTCGTGCCGAGGGTTCACTCAATGTTTCCGCATCAATGAACACAGCACCCTGGCTGTGTAGACCCCCCCCCCACTACCCTGACTCTCTAATACAATAACAAGCCTACGATTCTCGTATATAGTGTGACAACATTGTGTGCGTGTCGCCTCTGGATAGACTTCGACTGAACAGGTTGCGCCGCTCTTTAGTAGTAGCAGTCGTAGTATTAATGATACTCGCCTGCAAAAACAGTGCTTCTGCGCACTACAGAACTACCACCGAGAGCCAGCCCCCCCCCCCCCCCGCCGTGACGCAGCCGTGCGCTTTAGCAAACCCGCGCGGCACACACGCGTGGCATGCTCACGGTGACAGGAGAACTCCCACTGAGCGGTCTTGCCGTGCTCACGGTGTGATAAGAGGGCTCTGGGCTCACTCACCTCGCCCGCACGGCTCTCTCGCTCTCTCTCTATATATAATTATATATAATTACACGGAGCCCCGAGGGGCTGTACCTCCGCCTAATCCTAACGCCTCTTGTGCTTGAGCTGCAATCAATGCAAACGCGACGCATATGTAGAAAGGTCGTTTTACGCACGTGTGTGTGTATATTATTTTACGTGTATATGCGTGTGTGTGTTTCAACATCGCCACTAGAGAGACAAAGGCGGCCCGGCGTGGTGCTGGCCAACGACCACCTCGTGTGACGTGCCAACTTTCATAGGTGCTCGCTCACAGCACCTGCCCCAATAGTCTGTAATGTTATGTGTGTGTGTGTGACAGACGAGAACGATAGATTATTATTTTGATAAGTGAAACAGTGACCTTGGGCATTAGTCTGCCAGTAGGGGGCGATGATTGTTTCGTACAATCCCAATTGAGTAAATGTGGAAGATTTTGAATCCTGGCCTAAGCTTGCAGAAATACATTTTGACTTGAAGCTTTCGTGACTGCAGGAATTAATATGCTTTGGGTCTTTCGGTAAAGTCACGTAGATAGGTTAAAAGAGAATAACAAAAAACGACGACGTTTCGATCGCAACACAAGTGGTCGAAACGTCGTAGTATATACTTGCGGAAATAATCAGGGCGGCCGCTGGATTCGAACCGGGAACATCGTCAACAGGTGGCGACCGCGCCACCGCTGGTCCCGTGTCACCATGCCGGGAAGAGCTGTTCGAGGCTTCGAAGTAAAAGCTTGTTGTTGTTTTTTAAAATCAAGAACAGGGTGTGGAGTTGGGGGTAGGGGGGCAGGACGCGCCGCTGAAATGAACGACAGAGCCCTTGGTCAAGAATGGCAACGGAGTGGCAGCCAAGGAGTGGAACGGAACGGGGAGGGTTACGTCCTCCCAGGAGGTGGAGCGATTACATCTGTTCACGAGCGTTCGTGCACCGCTGGATCGCACGAGATGGCGACGACTTGGGGAGGCATTCATCCAGCAGTGGATTGACCGTGGCTGATGATGATGATGATAGTAAGTGTGTATGTACTGCGTAATGTTGAACAATGTTGATCTACAGCGGGTTCTATCTGCGCAAAGCTGTCAAACGTCTTGGGATGCGTTCGCTTTGTACACCCACCCCCGATTACCACGGTTGGCTACGTACGGTGCGAAAGAAGTTCAGCATACATACATCCACATTGTCGTGCATTCGATTGACGGACATCTAGAGATGTTATACACAAACCTGTCAACCCATTGTCAGTGCCCTACCTTATCACAGACCAATTCAGACCTTATTGGTCACCCCGTGCCCCTTATGAATCTCAACGTTCATCCTACAAAGTCCCATCACAAGGGAGAAACACAAACAGACAGACCATTAGTTTTTGCCCGTATTGAAACGGCTGTACGCCGTATGGACATAGACATTCAACTTCCCTGTACAAGAATACGGGGTCAACCCGCGTGGGTTGACAGCTGCGTGTACAGGGACGAGGACCCGTCAGGTACGCCACGGTGCATAACGAGATCAGCTCTGGCGCGCGTGACACGTGGCGGTTTGAGCTTCGGGGAGGTCTTCAACCAGCGGTGGATTGAGCATGGCCGCTGGTGATGATGACGATGTTAACGAATTTCTCCCTTTAAAGCTTTCGTGACTGCAGGGATTCATCTTCTTGGTTCTTTCGGTAAAGTCACGTAAAAGGGAAATAATAAAACAATAAAAATAAAACATAATAAAATACAATTCTCACGACGTTTCGGCCACAACGCAAGCAGCCGTCCTCAGGTTCTTCACCAGGTTCTTCACCTGAGTACGGCTGCTTGCGTTGTGGCCGAAACGTCGTGAGAATTGTATTTTATTATGTTTTATTTTTATTATTTTATTATTTCCCTTCTACGTGACTTTACCGAAAGAACCAAGAAGATGAATTTCTCCCTGTTATATCTGTTGAGAGGTACTGGTGTATGTGTGTGTATCCCCTCCTTCCCACCCACCCCCGATCCTCTACTCATGATAAACTTACTCTTTGGTTCTTTCGGTAAAGTAACGTAGAACATTTTTTTTAATGTAATAATAGCACACGACGTTTCGATTGCAACACAGGCAATCATCATCAGGTACAAATGAAAGAGAAAACAGACCTAGTAAACTTAGAAATATAATGCAATACGACACAGAGAGTCGGCTAACATAACAGTCAACACCCTGACTGGTTGATGACGTTCTTCCAAAGATTGCTAAATCTGAGAGGCTGTGTCACCGGGGCTGCTTTACTGCAACTCTGTGGAGGCCCGGTGACACGCGCGCGTGTACGCACACGCACGGTGGAAGCCGCTGCGCAGGCCAGGCCAAGCAGTCGCGGCGGGTGTGTCTACCGTGCGGCAATTATCCGGGATGTGACGAACACCCCGCTGCTCTGCATCTCGAGCGCGCGCCACCTTTTCACGTCGGCAAGCGAAAGTTGCGATGACGCGTCGAGAACTCGTCGACAATTTGTGTGGTTTTTTTTTACGAGCACGTTGATACTCCCAATCGGAGCACCGCCTACATAGGTGAAGGCCGACACCGGCACACGAAAGGGTGGCTGGCCAGACCCACGCCCGGCCGCCTTTGTCTCTCCATTGCCTCCATCGATGCAGCCGAGGAGCGATTCAGGTGTTCGTCACGGATGTTGGCCGCGAGCAGGAATCGAACCTCGGGTGACCTGGTTTGTGGCGCAGTGCGATAACTACTGCACTACCGCTCTCCACACAGTATATACATACAGTATACATGAGCAGTATACACACGTACACACAACGGGTGGCTCAGCACAATCGGAAGATTGCGAATTCATATCTTGTATCGGAGACCATCATCCCTCCGATGTTGGGAATACCATTGTTGTGGGGCAGTCAACGGCGGTTGCCCTGCGGATAGACTCACCCCCGCCGCAGTAATGTGGAATGTCCATCACTGCCCGAATGGCCATTCCGAGCATCAAATCACGCGCGTCACCCGCACGCAGTCCTGCTACGAGTGTGGCGGTGCATTACACCATGGGGCTGGATATGTCCGTGAAGGAGGTGAGGCGCGGAAAGATTTGACGAGTGAATATGAAACATAACCCGAAATGTCGCGTTCATTTTTGCAACGCGATTTGTCCCTGGGACGAATGTGAAGGAGGAAACTCGACCCATCTCTTCTGTGTACCCCCCCCACCCCGTCCGCCTTCTCTCTGTCTGCATTCCCAACCTCGCCCCCCCCCCCTCCGCTCCTCGTATAGCGAGGCAATCGCAGAGCGCGCGAGGAGAAGTCACTAAGAGAGCGCAGCTCTTGGAAGAGGATTTGACGCGAGTGTGGGTCGCGCGCACTCAGGAGGGCCCACTCATCACACAGGAACAACAGAGACAACAATCCCCCGTGTAGACTTTCACCGACTGTTGGGGCAAGGGCTGTTCGCGAGCGCCTATGAAGGCCGGGACGGTGCACGAGGGGGTAGGTGGCCAGCACCACGTCCGACCGCTTTTGCCTCCCGAGTAGCAATTGTCTCCCGAGTAGCAATTCTTACACACTGAGGCTGAGTCGATCTAGGGGAGGCCCAGGACCGGTTCAGATAATCGTCACCGGTATTGGCCGTGAGCGGGAATCGAACTCGGGTCGCCGGGTTCAAGAACAACACGCACATACGCAGCCTCACCACGTGCTTGAGCTCATGAAGCCAAAGGGGTGGAAATTTCTACCGGTGTCTCACCGCGGGCAGTATCCGCCGTAAGTAGAAAGCGTAGAGTATATTTCTCTTTGTTCTAGATGCACACACTTACGAATTCATGGCATATGTCTTTTGGCGATCGGGCTTTTGTTAGCGTGGCACCCAAGCCATGGGACGCCTTGCCACTTGAAATCAGGCAATCGGAGTCGGTAGATTCAAGTCTGCTGTGACACCACATCTCTTTAAAGTGGCCTTCCCTCTTTAGTTTGCTCGGTTGACCCCGGTTATGTTTTTGTTTCCTGCTTTTCATGCATTGCGATCCCGGGATGGAACGCGCATTATTCATCTGAATGATTATATTCAAACGCTGTTTAATTTCACACCAAGTGTATTCATTTAAAAAAAATATCTCCATCAGACATACTAGGGTGTAATTTTTGTTAAATAAAAAAATAATGATTTAAGGATTCCACCAGCACCTTGCTATCATACAGATTTGTGATAGAGATGAAATGGTTCCAATAAGATCATTGATAACATTTTGACCCTGGGTGCTACCAATAAGCCAGTTTTGGGACAATGGCTTCATGACCAATGTAGTCTTACAGCCGTGCAAGGGTAAGTGCTGCTCGCCAGCACATACTCAGGCTGATACGGCACATACCCGGTCGCCGTTATCTTGCCAGTAGCTGTACGCATGGTCAACATTAATTGCAACAGCAAATATAACTAGAACTACGATATTTGTATCGCCACATCATAGGACTGTACTCTGTATATACAAAACTAAAAGTTTTGCTGGCTGGAGGGACGGACGGACGGTCGGTCGGTCGGACGGACACGTCCAAAGACAGTGCGGGCTGCTGGTATATCTACAAATATGTTTAGCTGATTGGTCTTATGACTTGTTTCACAATGACAACAACAGTGAAAATTGTTGAATCGCCCAAATGAGTACATTGGGCCAATAACATCTGGCAATCCAGCTGCATGTATTTGACATGCGTGACTGCTGAAGCGACCCAGAAGGTCGAAACCGGTCCATAGTTTTGCTTTCTTAAACACCGATGAACTGCAAAAAAAGTCTTGATATGCATAATTAATATAACGATTTAAAACTCTGATTTTTTTTAT